ACGGCAAAATCAATGCCATTGATTGGCAGCAGAAGGAGGGCTCGGATGCCAACTCTTTCGGCGACTTTCACTCCAATTATAACCACAAGTATTTCGATTTGTCGGACAACTGTTCCGCGATTTCGCCGTTCATTAGTCTTCTGCCAAAAGCAAACTCTGTGTCCAAAGGCTTCATGAGAGGCAACCGCAAGACAAACGACGATAACGTGAATGATATGATGAAAGTGGAGAACCAGAAGACGCTGAATGTGTTGGCCATCGGAACCCAAAACGGTTTCATTGAATTGTATGCCTTCGGTGTCTATAAAATTGCGAAACTCTTTGTGGCCGACAATAGTCCCATCAAATATGTGGCCCTTTCTAGTGATCTCTCGATTATCACAGCTTTAGTGGACAACGCTGTCGATGAAAGCTCGTCGACGAGTAGTCAGTACTCAATGAATAGCTATAATCTGAATATTTTGAAGCAAAGAAGTCATCAGTAAAACTACTATAGCGTCTAGATGCGCGTCAGGTAGAGAGACAACAGAATAAATTCGCTTTGTTACGCACTCTAAGACCTCCGGACCCTCCTGCACTACCAACTTTAGCTGAGATTTGAGAGTTTGAATGTGTCACTACAGAGGAGTCAATCGAAACCCAGTTGCGACCCAAAGGAGACCAAAATCCCATTAATGGCCGACGAGTTCCTGGAGCTCTTAGTGTTGGGGAATGCGAGCGATTCTCTGGAGAAGTTCCTCAACGACTTGACAGATAAGGGCCTCAAGAAGTTGGGACACTCTATAGAGTTGGCCTATTCTAACATCCAGAAGCTTGTCGTCAAAAACGTGGAACGGGTTCTCCAACACATCTATTGTCACTTCAATGCACTCAAAGGTATGGCGCTCTGGGAGGAGAAGTTTGGTGACGTCGGACTCGATGTGATGTCTGTCAACAAGACACTCAAAACTATCGGATCTTTTCTACTGAAGTCAACGGAATTACAACAAGTGATCGACAATTCGATGCGAAACGTGAAGGCATTTATTCGATGGCTTTACACAGCAATGGTTCGCCTCCTGAACAACGAGTCCTCCTCTCAAAGCGAGTTAACCAAAGTCTCACAACAAGACATCCAATTCGTCACTGAATTCATTAAAGAGAACTTCGAGTTCGAGTCGTCGACCAGTACTTCGAGACCCACTTCTAGTAATTTTACGTTAGAAAGAGTGGGACAGTATCTCAAAGACAAAGACCTCACGTCCATTAACTCATCCATCAATGATATGTCGATTAACCCGTGGATTCAGTATTTGAATGACAGACCGAATCTGACGATCACTGATAATAAGACACTATTCCTCTACTCGCACAAACCCAACACATCGTTTGTGGGCGAACACAAACTCTTGGATCAATCGGTTCGGGAGGCCTTCACCGGTCCTTTCAATGTCATCACACAATCACTCGATAAGAATGGATTGCGTTCTAGTCTTCCAAATCTGATCACTATTCCCAGCAATGAATTACTGAAAGTCAATCACATCTCAAACCTAAGTTTAGGACATTTTTACATATCATTCATAAACAGAACAAAACCAAACAAATTGTTTATTATTCGGCATTCAATCGGAAACCAAACTTCTGTTGATGTCGTTTCTGCGACCTTTCAGTTGAATTCAATTCATTTAGCGGTAATCGACTGTCAATTCTATACCGAAAACATAATATCATTACTTTTGGCTGAAAGTGAGTCAAATCAATCATTTTTGGTTCAAATGCCTCTCCATTTGTTGAATAATAATTTTGAGCCCATTCTAAGTGATATCAATTCAATGAATACAATGTCTATTGAATTGAGTGAAGTGCCCACTGATTCGGGACTTATATACCGGGGTCTCGATAATATGGTTCTGTTAGCAGTGAGCGGTTCCCGCAAAGTGGCCTGTCTTTCATTTGCATCCAAACGCAGAGTCAAACTCTTCGAAATGGATGTTTCCGAAGATGACGACGAGGAACAGGATTCCAGTGCTATGCTTGATGTGAATGTCAGTGCCGGTTCACTGCCCGCAGACCACACCAACAGTTTTAAAGACATTTCTGCCCTCTAATCACTGTTTAACTAATTTATGTTTTTATCAATTTTTCCGTTCATTTCAATAAACACCACAAGAAATACAGTTTTATATTAATTTTTATTTAAATGAAACATTTCTTTTGATTCATATAAAGATTGAGTGATTTCTAGACTGAATGAGTTGTCGCCAGAAGTCCAACATTTGCGGCTGAGTTTCACAGCAGATATGTTTGAAGCTCTCCTCCGAGTCATTCTTCTTGCGTCTGAGTTCTTCTAATCTGAGTTTTTGCTCGTATAGTGTGTACTGAATGACAACTTTCCTCTGAACGCCCACTGAAGGCAATACAGTTGACTCCAAATGCGATACTTTATATTCTATGCCTTCAATATTTGACTCCAGATATTCTGTATTCTCGCGATTCAAACAAAATGCTTCAAACAAATAGCAGGCACACAACGAATCGACAAAATTGTCTCGTTTTGTGTGAATTGGCGACACTTTGTAGTCATCTTCAGAGCGGACATCGATTTGATTGTTTAAACCGATTCTAATAGAGTGCGCGAAACTAGTCATCAGAGTTCGGCATTGAGGGCAGTGTTGGCTATATCTGAGCCATTGGTTCAAACAATTGCTGCAAAATATGTGACAACATATTGTTATATTCATGTCATGACAGACCGAGTGCTCGCAAAGTATGCATTTGACTCTTTGCAGATCAATGTCTTTGATGCAAACCATTCCACTCTTAGGGGTTGTATGACTGGTATTCTGGGGACTCGACTTCGATTGGGTATCGCTTCCAATGAGATCTTCTTTATGAATCACAGAATCGTTTGTGGTCTTAGAGGTATTGGAATCGATGGCCACGTTATCCATCACTTCTCTTTGGTGGTCATCATTGTGTGTCTGAAGTCTCTCTTCTTGATTCTCAGTTTTTAATAGATTTTCTTTGCTTTGAATGACTTTGAATTCAATTGAATGTGTATTGGATTCGCGGTTTCCCTTCAATTCAATTTCATTTGCCATTGAATTCATGGATTTGTTTTCGTTCTCTTCATTCAGCGAACTCTCGAAAAGTTTGGCCTTTGATTTGTTTGCACTTCTGAAGTGATTTCCCACTAATTCTATTCTTCTGGACATCTCTTCCTTGAATGACTTCACATCACAGGAGCGACGATTCGGCGTCTTCTCCTTTGCCTCTTCTATTGGTCGCAATGTATTCAATGACTTCTGTTTCTTCAAGACATCCCTTCCATTCTCTGACCCCTTCGTCTGACGCTTATCACCGCAAATGGTCTTTACGTTTGTAGTCTTTGAACTCTTTTTCTCACTTTTCTTTGATTTGTTAGACTTCGAGAAGAGTTTGAGAATCGCTTTCTTCATGTTCTAAACGATTTTGATTTGTTTTTCCGTTTTCACTGAACACTTAAATTATAGAACTATTACTTTTGAATACAATTTGCATTAATTGAATGCTTTAACAATGCATTTCATTGTCTTCGCTAACTTGTCAAATAATCTTTCATTTCATATCTTCACTTCATTTACAGTCTTTCTATACGCTATACAACGCTATGTAAGACTACAGTAATAGGTTTTTGCAAAAAAAAATATATTCTTTACTTAAGTGGTAAACCATAAGGTATTTTCTTTGCCTGTATACAGTACTGTATGAATTATTTTTATAATACAGAATATAAAAGAAAAATATACACAATTGTTTACAGTATATTTAATTACAATACTGTACTGTAAATACTATTATAATAAACCAAATTATTTTTATTTGAATCAACTTGCATTGGAATATATTTTATATCCATTGAACATTTCAAAAAGTTCTTATAATATTTAATTAAACTATACAGTATAAAGTTGTTACTCAAGGAACTAAAATTCTAATAAAATATGATTTTTGCATTTTAACTTGATCTCTAAAAATGAGAAAATAAAGTATCTTTTACTGTATTTTAAAAATATACCAATAATTTATAAACCAAGTCATAGACTGCATAATGCATAGTATTATAAAAACTAAACCAAATTAAAAATCATTTTAAATCATCAGTGATGATTTAAGGCGACCATTTTAAGGGGACATTAATGACAATTTGTATGATTCATCACTAAGTCTAAAGAGTTATTTCATATGATATTTAATCTACAAATTAAAAATCGTTTATTTTAACTAACGATTGTTTGCATGAAATTAATATTAATATTTGAAATGAATTAAAGCAAAAGTGGAATTAATCCACAAAACCGATAGACAGGCGATAATCTACTGATATATGAGTTCTTTAATCTTTACATCTGAACGAAGAGATAATCAGTGTCTAAAGAAAAGGGTCACACATTTAAATGGTTTAAATTGGATTTGATTGAGAAATAAGTGATGAGAGAGACAAACAGAGAAGAGAGCAAATGCTATATATGTTTGGATAAATTGATAGATGAGGTCAAACTGGATAACTGCTCGCATCGGTTCTGTAGACAATGTATAGGCCAGTGGTCTCTCGTCAGTAATATGTGTCCGCTCTGTCGCCAACAGTTTACTCAAGTCATACCCAACGACACAACAAACACTAATTGTATGCAAAATGTAGTCTTAATTTGTTTAACATTTCTATGCATTTGTTGTGTCGAAGAAATAAAGATCGCTTTTACTTAGAATTAGTTTTTATTTATTAATTATAATTAATATTAATTTATAAATAACTTAATATAATTATTCTCTTAACGGAAAATAATGATATTAATATTAAGTGATTTTTATAAAACAATTCAAATAAACGCATATATAGTACAGAATCAGTCAATATATGGTTTAAATCCTTCGATACAAATAAAGATACGCCAAGTCTTTGGGCGGCGCCTCAGAAACGGCTACTTTGTCGTCGTTGAAGATCACCCAACGGTTGTCTTTCCGTATGTGGCAAACGTAATGACCACACATAGTACTGGTGCCCATATGACTGATAAACGCCATCAACTGATATTTTCCGGCACCGTCTCTGAAATTCGACGCCTCAGTGGTCTGGCTCTGGCTCTCAGGAGTCGGTGCATCCGTTTGCATGGCTTGACTGGTGTTCAACTCGTCCGCGTGACTGAAGATCCAGTCCACCGCTCGCTCCATATTATTGTTCTAATCATTCAATGAGTTTTACATTTATTATAAAAACAATTCTTTAAAAAGTGGTTATCATATAATGATGACTACCGTTGCTTTGAGGGCTTTGAGCGCCTGTTCGTTAGTAAAGCCCATTGAGATGATAGTGGCCAGAGATTCAGAGTCAGCAGTAAATGTGTCCTCAGCTTTAGCTGCCGTTCCACCGGTTTCTATAGCGAAAGGTTGTGAGAAGTCAGGATCAGACATGTGTTCCATAATCCAGTTCATCGTCGTCTCAATGTCTCCATTATTGGTGTGAAAGAGGGCTCGTTTGCAGCCATCCATAGGAAATCCCATTTCCATTAATTGGGCCAAAATTGCTGAATTAAATTCGAATGCTTGGACAGCACCGGCACCCGAGCCCTCACCGGTATGTTTGGGCTCAGGTAAGAGTTCCTCTCCCGGTTGGAGACCAGTGGCTCTCATGTGCCCTAAATCTAGAATTTCCGGCACATCGAGTGAAATGTCCAGTTTCTTAGGCACCCAATCGTCTCCCAACGCAAACTTCTTGATGTGAACCATCAGGTAATCGGGAAATGTCTTCAGTCTAGTCGTCCTATCATTTCAACAAAAATAGCGCTCATTTAGAATATCAAGCAAACCATTGAGCGAAAGACATACTGATTAGCAATTGATTTGCCATTTAATGCAGAACTAAAGAAATCGTCGATAAGTGTGGGCGAAGCAAATGTCTCGATACACGACTGGATGGGAATTATGGGTCGAACCACGTGTTTGGGATCACTTAATGATGGATTCAAATAAGTCAATGAATGCAAAGAATTTAAGAATTCATACATTTTCTGTCCCTTGAGTTCCATCTCTTTCTTCATGGCCTCGAATGCTTTGAATGCCTCGGCGTTTGTCGTGTGATCTGCGACTGGAAGGGACAGCAAGTACTCGGTTCTGGTCGTGTACTTCACTTTCTTGGACTGCAAGCACTCAATGCGTTCCTCGACCTGAAACTTGAAACAATCGGTGGCGGGAGGGCTGGCATTAGTCCTGTTGTTGCGTTCGATGACATTAATGAGATGCAGAAAGAACTCCTGAACGTCTTGTTGGCGTTTAGTGGAGAACTCGTGATGTCCTCTTCCTATCAGGTTCTTAAACATTGTCGGCTTTATTCCCGTTTGCTCTTTGGGCTCACCATTCGTTTGTTCGTTCACTGAGTACTTGCCAGACAGGAGTCCGTACGAGAGTTTCGCCATTTGAGTGGTGAAGTCAGAGGGAGGGTCTGTCGGCGCCGACTCGAAGATCTGATTCGGAGGGTAATAGCGGTTCTGGAAGTCGGGGATACTGAACATCACTTGCATTACTGAGTTGAGGTAACACGAGTTGCCCAGATTGGACAGACCCGTATAGCCCGGTCCGTACAACGGAGTCAGTTGGGAGCCCTCCTCTTGGATTATAGACCACTCGCCGAACCCTTTATTCAAATCGATTTCGAGTTCAATCATTGATTTGTCTGTTTTCTCCATTTGTGTCACATTTATGCCAAAATGTGCCAAATGTTTGGTCAGATTGGGATCCTCTACCATATCGTCCTCATCATAGGAATACACGTCTGACACAAAATCAATTCAAATCAGATTACACTAAACACCACTTTAATGACTGATTACCGGCGCCATCGGGAGTAATGGTTCCGAGTTTGACTGCAAGCGGGTACTTCGTCTGCGCGTAATACTCGGACGCGTGGTTATTACCACCCGTGCCGTCAAAATAACGGCGTCCACATAGGACTGTTCCATCAGTTAAATTAAGCCACAGATTGTCTTTTTTATCGCATTTCTCACACTTCCAGCCTTTGGGAGGAATTTTGACGCCATTATCCAATTGCAGTAAATTCTCGGCATGTCTTCAAACATATGGAACAATACAAATGAGACAATTGTTTGTGCACTCAATCATGAGTTTATGTCATACTTGGAGACCATTCTCTTCTCCCCATCCCAAGTGCCGGCCAATGCCTGCAACTCCTCTAATCTGAAGGCCGCGTCCGAAGACAACACCATTGAAACCGATTGTATTAACTGTTCATAATTTACACGTTTAACACAAACCGGCATTTCATAAGCAATAGAAGTAATGGTGACATAAATATCGTGTAATACCTGTTCGGGAAGGTCTGGATTGGGAAGAGGAATGACAGCAAATTGTGGTAAAATCACGACTGAATGCATTTCATCGAATTGTTGTCTCTGTTGAGAGTTCACATCAAAACCTCCTTCAATACCGATCGCGAGTTTCGTTATCTTTGGTTTTGTTTCCTCGCAATCGCTTTGCGGACACTTCGGAACAAATCGAGTGACAAATGAGACAAACATTTACTTCACGTTACAATTCAGTGACAAATCAAATGAAGACATACTTCGCGAGCGATTCTCTTGAGATGAAGAAAGACCGCATTTCCGGTCTTTTTGTGGTGCAGTTCCACGAAATCTCTGCCGAAACCAAGAAATGTGTTGAGACACACGTATAGACCATTCGGTGATGACTTCATGAGTGGACATAAAAACAAGATAACAGATGAATGACACGAATGGCACACAAAATGGGAATCAATTACCGGAGAGTCGAAGGAGAAGACACACTCGTCTTTGTATATCTTGTCGTTCTGGACGGGGATTCGGATCTTATGGAGGTATGGCTTCAGTAAATCCATGGCTCACAACAACTATCAACCAATTGTCGGTTCAATCAAAACAGATATGAATCGCAATTAAGTGTCAAAACAATGCTATAATTGATACGAAAATACAAATGAAATGCAATTTTCGACTCAATTTCAAAGCAAATCAAAAGTTTATTTTCTCACAAAACACTTTCACACAAATTACGCTATATTTCAATGACTTTCGCAACGATAAGCCAATAGAAGGGGGCATTCAATGAGCCATTCATTTGCACATCACTTATGAATCTCACAAATCAACGCCTTTTATGTAATCTGGTGGTCAAAAAACACATTTACTTCACAAATACTTTTGATTTACGAACAGTTTATTAGTTATAATTAATGCCATTATTATAATCAACGCAATCGTGTCATACAATTGGACACACACTACACGCAAAACCAATTGTCTCTCAGACTGCACACTATTTGCAGTGAAATGTGGACTAAAAGGGGGACAAAAAGTGAGGCATTTATGGGTCGCCCACTGGAAGGAAGGCGTGATTTGTCAACCGTTTGCAGAAAAAGCGCTAAAATAGTGATTGAATTCCATATTTGAATGGTTTGTATGTTTAGTGCAGTCATCGACTCATTGAGTGATTGAATCGATTGCTCGCAAACTCTACACACAATCAGCGCATCAAACCATGGGTTCCGTGGCATCCAAGACGTGGTCCGAAGTGAATGACTTCTACTACAAGACATCGTCGCCGCAGACACACAACCGCTCAGTGAAGGCGAGGCATGAAAGCGATGCACTGAAGGGTGCGTTAGATCCGCGATCACCGACTCTGGACTTCGACAGGACTCCCATCCAAGTGACTGATTATTATGACGACAGACACGTCGTGTCCAGCGATGAGATCTCTGCCGAAGCGCGAAGAATAATGGAGTCATCGGATCCGCGATCGCCCTCTTTGGGCGTCAACAGGACTCCCATCGATGTGGTCACCAATGACTCAATCAGTATTCAGTTGTCGGCGATGCGACTGTCCTTCGAGACCACTATCACTGATATGAGTAACGCATCCATTGATAGTCTGTCGGCTGAAGACAAACGCCAATTGAAGACACCTTCGCGTGAAGACAAAGACGAGAGGAGTGGCGGACAACGAGTGCGGACCCCATTGTCTTCAGTACCACAAAAGCAAACGCCGAATCGGAATGTGATTCGCAATCGGAAGCAACTGGAGATCACCAAAAGAGCTCACATTAACAGCCATCTCCTCAAGAATAAGACAATTGTGGCCAACGGTGACAACACTCTGAGTCCACAAGTGATTGATGACAAGGAAAACCTTTAAACTCTTCACTGGAAGTGTTGATCTATTTGTGTAACATTTGAAACGATTTCATACTTTTATTGAATATTTTTAAAACGACTATAATTTGAGATTTTATTTAAGTCTTAACTGTAACTCATTTATCGTTTATATTCAGTACTTTATATTATATGCCATACATTTGGTTCACTTTGAATGACTTGATTTGCATTCAATGTGACAGCAATTTATCTTTTATAAGAGGTTTATAAATGAATTGTCAATACTATAAGCAAATTGCCATTACATTATTATATGATATATTTATTTGCATTCATATTTGTATCAAATACTAGTTTACTATAGATTCCATTAAATATAGATTTTCATTGAAGAATATAATTGCGTTAAATAATTGATTTGTGATATTGTGTGTGAAATTATGGTCATGCGGTGGTCGATGGCTATTAGTCTATGTCTCGCATTGCATTCAATATATAATATATTTGAGTAAAATATGAGAAACATATTAATATTAAGCTAATGATGAAAGTTTTGATATACTTGATCACAAAATAAATTGATGTTCACTTTAATATACTGTAGGTCTATATAGTAGTGCACAACACATATAGTGATGAGCTTTGGCTCAAATACTACCAGTATATTGAAGACCATTTACGTAATGACAGCACTTTCTCCACTTCTTGAGCCAATTTAATCCCAAATACTAAGACTGACTGTTAGGCACTTACAAACCTCAGGGATTCTTGTTTTCAATGATATACTGTACCCTATAGTAGAGTATATGTAGAGTGGTGTACAACTATTTGAGTAGTTATTATTTGCTAAAACTAAAGCCTGCATAACTCTATCGCACCAGTAGTTGTGCCCACCATGTATTGGACTTATGATATTCTGTACGGAATATTATTTTCAAAATAATATCATGCCTTTAAGCCAAACTTTATTTTAATGATTTCAGCAATTTTTCAATTCTTCACTTTATTTGATGCCAAATATATGAACAGAAAATGAAATACTAAAACATTTCATATTTTATTCGCATCCGAGAAACAAAATCTTCTTTAGTATTGATTTTTTATTCAGTTGTCAATCACTTTATAGCGTTTTATACTGTATATCATGTGCAATGTATTAAAAACAAAAGTACTCTGTAGATATGTTGAAAAATAGCTTTTATATTAATATTAATAATGAATATGTTTTTATTTAATTGAAATTTGATTCAAACTAATTGTAAAGATTCACATTCTTTGCCTCAAAGGAGATACAGTATAGTACAGTACAGTACACTATAAGTTATTAATAAATATATTTGTCATTAAATAGACAGAATATAAAATAAAATAATGAGAAAATAATGTTCTGGATATCATATGAGACAAATTAATCATAAGATACAATATACTACAATGTACAATATATCTGTATGGAAATGAAGTCACGTTTCAAATTTGATAATTACTCGTTACAAATCCTATAGTTTGATATGATTTATAATAAAATAGTGCAAATGTCTTATATTCTGCACTAATTAGGAATTTTGTTCATTTATTTCTTGGTTTCATTTGCAGACAAAAGAAATTCTTTATCAAGAATTCTTTAAAATTATTTCATAAATACTTATTCTAGAAAATTCATTTGAAATTCCCCTAATCTTTGTGTGATATCCCACTTCTATGCCAATATTAACATAGAATTTGGGCAAAAAGTCTTATTTAAAATTATGATTTAGTATTTGAAACAACAGATAAAGTGTTGAGTAAAACAAATTCAGTTCTACTGTATATTTATAAGTCTAAAACCTATAATGTTATTGAATTGTCAAACATTGAGAACATTAAATTGTGATCTGAACTAAACGTAACACCTTTTATATATTCACAGAACGAAATCAATGCAAACCATAGATAAGGTGTAGAAAAAGAAATTAAGGCATCATTTCATATCAAATCGATAGCTCACTATATTGCATGTGGTGGATGTGGTTGGATGTGGTGCATGCGGTGCATGTGCAGCCCCGTCACTGCTGACAGTCCTCATTGCCAACCTATCCATCGGTGGGTTCAGCTAAATCCACTCCAAAGCAAACTTATTCGGCTGTTGTCACACTTGTCAGCACCAGTTGATAGTCGGCTAGACTTCATGTCCATTTGTGAGACAAACAATCAAGGTAATTAATCCAAATCCAGGTAATTGTCAATTTATTTACTTATTTATATTTTATTATATAATTATCTACCTACTCATAACTATTTTTGCAAATCAATTCTAAAACAAAGTTATTGTTATATTAATATATTGATATAAATAGCTTTTAATACAAAACTTTTGTGTTTCTATAAAATGCATTTAGATTTTGATTGCATTATACTATAATGATTATATGATATAATTTCTAAATCTAGTAATATAAGGTGTAGGTTTTGGTTTGAGTTAATTTTATTGAAATTAATAAGTCATGAAAATTGCTTTAAGAAAGATTTTTATTACAAAGAAAGCAATTTCTTTGGCTTTAATGCTATTATAATTTATGAGACATTTAGTCATCAGATATACACTTGTGTCGTGTGATAACCAGAAGTATAATATCTATATATTTGTTTGCTCTAACTTTTTCCCCTGATATCCATTACCTAAACATTGTCTCAATTTAGTAAATGAGCGACACTTCTGTAACAAATAAATTGCTTATCATTAACATAACTATTCTCTGAACAATAATTTTGCATATTTTGCAGTCCATTAATTTATATGTTTTTATGAAATTCCGAGTAAAAAGAGTTTCATCTTTGCATGTTTAGTTTTATTTAAAAAAGTAATAATTGCGTAAATTCAATATGATTTAACAGACTTTTGAAGTATTAATACTTAATATGCATCGATTTACATCATATTTAAATATATTATTTGAAAATCAAACGACATTTACATTAATAATTTTTAATATGCTGCAGAACTGTAAGACTAATCTTTTAATAACTCGTTCATATAATTTTTAATAGAAATTTAATTCTATTATAGATGATCTAATCCTTAAATTTAATTATCTTCTTAATATTATTATTTGGAAATTGGTTTAAAATAGAATAAATTCAGAATATTAAACTAATAATAAATTAATCCCAAAGAATCAAATTTTGCAAAATTTTTTCCATGTATAACTATATAGATATTTAATTAAATGTCTATAGTATTGCGTAAAATTAACTAAACCTACATTTGAAAAAATTAGCAAAATAATTTTGAAGTGTATTTTATAAATTTACTCTAATTTTTATAATCCAAAAAAATATTATTCAAACTATTATATAAATATTCTGTATAGTAAACACAACACTTTACTGTACTATACACAAGGTGTTTTATTAATTTTATATTAACTGATATTAACTGAAGACTAAATTTACTATTAACTTGTGTGAAAATTATACCATAAAACTATAATTACCACTAATCATAATGTATTTTCATATTAATAATTTATTAATAAAAACATTCTGTTTCAGGTAAGATGTTTTAAGAAATTTCACAGAATCCAGCTATTATTTTATAATTTTAAATATACCTGTATAATTTTTAAATGTCTGTCTTATGTGCCCCAAATGAGTGATTTTTATGAGCCTAAATAAGTTATAATCTTTATGCATAATAGGTATTATTATAATATTCTTGAATATTCCTGGTACAGTTTTATTGCACTCTAAATATAATAATATACTGCATTCTAATATTATATAAATCTAATATAAATCTTCGTTTATACAAAAAACTCCATTTCTTTCGACATTCAGTTTGAGAGCTTAAGCTTTGCGTCAAAATTC